AACCATAATGATTCTATGATTCTAATGAAAGCAAAGCAGGTGAGTTCTAACCCAAGAAACTTGAAAGGAAACAACCATAGCTGTTAGTGCACATTCCCAGATGACACCAAAGGAAAGGCATATTTACAAACCAGTGCTAATCCTAAAAAGGGGTTGATGAAGAGTGAATATACTGTTCCAAACCCTGTTCTAGAGATGGATTATACACGTACCTACAGAATGCACACAGAACAGACAGGAGGGAGTTTTTCTGGAAGTTTTCACCATTGGAATATGATTCGTAGGTTCATGGAGGTCATGGAGGAAATATTTTATTAGGAATCTTTGTTTATGTGAGATATGATATCCTGAGGAGTACACGAGGAGAGAGGGAAGGCAATTGCTGTTGTATATCTGATAAGGGACATGATAAATCCACGCTGTCATTTGGTTCAATGCTTGGAAGAGTTAGGCAGATGATTTGTATTTTATTAAAAATAGTTCTTGGAGACTTCAGGCAGTAATCTGGATTGGGCTAACACTGTGCACTCACACACAAAATTATTAACGGATTGTTCTGAGATGCTGTTCCTTACAATCAGTCACAATGAATGAAAGCCTAGAGTGGTACAAGAAATTTTGTCTAATTTACATGAAAAGAAGTCATCCTCTTGGTTTAGCTATATAAGTTTCCTATGATGGGAAAAAGCTAGAGAAAGTTGCTGGGTTGTTTGGGGTTTTTTTATGATTATAAAAAAAGAGTGCTGCTATACTGTGCCAGGTTCAAATAAGAAGACATGCCCGCCCAGATGTGAGGGATAAAGTAGGTAGAAGCCTTATCACTTGCCATGCAAGGTGTAAATACATACATATTGAGATGACTCCCAAATACCATGAACCGCTAAAAACTCAATGGTCTATAATGCAATACCTCTCCAGCTTCTTTCTTGCATGCCCAAGCACTAATCCGTAATCAGTCTGATGTCTCTATGCATGACTCAGATACCCCTGTGCAGGTAGCAGATACCTGCATGCAACTCCTGTGAATTTTCTCCATATACAGGTTCTTCATAGGCAAGAGAATCTTTTACCTTTTATCCTAATGTCAGTTATTAAGATGTTTCATTTTTATAATTCAGTGAGAACACTCTAGTCAGTGGGTGTTAATGTCCAAAAATACAAAAAGGCAACTGAAAAAACACTCGGCCATTCAAGATGTAGGTTTAGACAAGGGATTTTTACCAGCTCTGCAGAATTCAGAACATGACTGTACTTTTTGATCATATGGTTCTTATTTACATAATAACATCCTGATGCAGAGATGTCTCTATCAAATGGTAAGCTTCTTAGCAGTGGTGTAGTTTCTCCACATGTTTCTATAGTAGTCGATAAAATAAGGACACAAACTCTGACTGGTGTCTGTGAGTGTTAGGAATGCAAAAATATTTATCACTGAAATATTAACATTCTTGTAAAGCTGACAGAAATTAGTCTTTTTCAAGTCATAAGAATACAAAAAATAAAGGTACAGATGAAGCGTAAAACAGAGGTGTGCTATCCTTTATCATTACACATCAAGGGAATCTATAAAATGACAGTAAAAAGCAACCAGTGCTTCCCTCAGTCCCCCCCAATATTCTAATGCAGCAGTAAAATGGCGTATGTCAGTAATAAAAGTAAAATGTCTATGACATTTTAAATGTTATCGTACTGTCACAGCAGAATAAAATTAGCTTGAAGAATGATCTAAAGGGATATGATGCAGTTCATTATGTATAACAGCAACAGCAGCAGTTTCCCAGTGTTCATAAAGGCTTCTCCATTAAATTTACCTCCAGTCAATAATTAGGAGTCCACAAATAAACCTAGGCAATTAAATCAATACTGCTGGGCAATTATGTTCCAAAGTCCTGGCTCAATGGCACAAAAAGACAGTATATCAAACTGCAATATTAAGTGATCTAATGCAATTTTCAACCGAACGTTTTCACAAAATAACAGAAAAGGGCAAGCCTGCCTCTTTGTTCAAGATGCAAATGGGTACACAGTTTGCCAACCTGTAACGCCAAGTGAGCCGTCTGTTATGAGCAAAGTCCTGACAGAAAGCTTTCATTTCACCATCCGCTTTAGTTTTCTGATCAGAAATATTACCAATATCTACTAAAGAAAACCACAACCAAACTCTCTACAAGATATGAGTTAAGCATTTTAAAGGGCAGAGCTCTTGCGTGTGCTGCTCCCAAATAGAGACCAAGAAATCTTCACAATTTCCATCCACGTGACTTAGCATGGACAGAAATGAAAAGCAGAGCTGGCTGCTCCCAAAAAGCACTAATTCTCTTGCAATTCTAAAGATGGTTGGCTTGCCAAGAATTACTTTTATCCTCAGAGCTCCTCCTGAGGAGCCCCACAAGATGGAGCAAAAATCACTGAAAACTACTATTAACTTGTACACAAACTCGTATCACTAAGAGCAACGAGCTCCTCTATCCTTAGCTAACATTTGCAATCCTAATACAGTTGGTTACATAGTCAATAACCCCCTCAATCTCCGTGTCCTGGTTTTTCCTGTCTGTCTATATCAGATGAAGAGAAGTAATAAAATTCTGCTTAGGATTTGTTAACAACTTACCAAAGAATGATAATAAAAAAACAGAATAAGAATTCTTTGTCATATTCCATGCATCTGATTCCTATTTTGGATTCCATAATATGGACAGAATCTTGAAATTTATAGATTTTTAAAAAATTCTTTTAAAAAATTCTTAAAATGAAGGCAATTTAGTGAATAGAAATATTAGTGCTTTTACTGTTGAGTTCCGTGTAACACTATGAGGTTAAATTAAAATGCCAGTATTTCTGACGAAGCCAGTAAAAGCAAACCGATACTTCTGTCTCCTCCACTGCAGCAATTAAGCAGTCTTAATGGTAGTAAGTTTTGATACTGAAAGAGGGAAAACCTGTCATTTCTTAAAAATCTGGTCACAGGACACAATCTAGACACAAAAGCTATTAATGATAAAATATATAAATCTGAATGTCAGTGTTCCCTTGAAATGGCTTTTAAAATATTTTCAATCATTCACATTCTTAACCGAAATGAACTACACCGCTAATGGACCCATGCTAGTGAATATGCATTAGGAACACTGGATTTATAAATCAAATTTAATTCTTTTCAGACATCAGCTACCCATCATCTGAATAAAGGAGACAACTAAAATACAATGGAAAAGTTTCAAGAGTCAGTGTATGTTGTCAGTGATGTCCAAACAAAAGCTGACTATGGCTAGAAAAGCAGGGCTCTCACCTGCCAATAAACTGCCCTTGATCACTTACAAGCAGGGAGCATCCCAGCAGACTCTGTGTGTATTAAAAAAAAGACTTGAAAGAGAAGAAAAAGTATCACACAGGTCACAGCGGCAGTCTCAATGGACCCCTCAGGGATTTCTGCTAGTCTCAGCCTTGTCATCCTCTATGCAGCTTTCCTCTCTGCCCAGAAAATGTCGATAGGAAAATGTTTGAGGGGCCTCTGGTGGAAATTTTTTCATTCTTTCTGCATTGACAGGATGCCAAATCAATATTTACTTCCCACTAACAAGCTGCTCGAGGTCTCAGTAGAAAATATTGTAGAGAATGCGAGAAGACACGATAATAAACAGCTGTCTGGCTATGAGGAAAACATGAATTGACTGGAAACAGGTCCACAGTAAAAGGTCACTGAAACCCATGAACTCCTCAGGTGTCCATATCAACTACTAACTTTAAAGGCACATAATAAAAAATCTCTTTTTCCTAAGAGGTATGAGAGAATGGATCCTTTTCACTCCAGCAAGCATTACACACTGTTTCAATAATTCAATTAACATATTTGCCAAGATCTGTGCCATTTTTCTCCAGCATTGTTTCACTACTTTTAGCTGTTAAGTTAGCTATCACATATCTTTAGTTAACATCTCTTCAGTTTTATCCAGTGACTCTTATTTCAACACAAATAAAAAGAAAATGCTACTAAACAAGGATTTTACATTGCCTTACCACAGTATAGTTTGGGACCATCAATGGCAACATAATTACAAATGCAAGCAATTAATTACAACCTAAAAACACTTAGCTACTCAGAGTAGAAAGTTATAATTCATTAAGGGAAGAGGTAAATTTAGCACCTGTGCTTCAAGAAGCTTCTGTATATACTGCAGCCATTCTTTATCTTTTTCAAATTCCATTTTTGTCTTTGTTGTTTCCTAAAAATAGAAAAATATAACATAAAGACAATGCGTTGACACCATCTGAGAAGAACATAATGAACAATAAAGGAAATGTGTAACTGGATATACCTTAAATAAATAACATGTGGAAGTCAGAACTATGCTTGCAAAACTAGTTATCTGAAGAATATCCACCAAGTTTGAGGGCTCTGTTAAATTTATAAACCTACCCTTGTCTGTGTGTGTTCCTAGAAATGTGCAGGGCATGTTCTTTTCATATGAATATATAGGTGTATGTGTGATCCATGTCTTCATATGTAAAGTTTCCTGAGTCTACACACTGATAAATAGAATATGTATCTAAAATTTTTGTAGTGTAAATTCATCACCTGTATTTTAAATTCATTTCCTATTTATAGTTAAGTATGTTTATATGTTTTACACATATATTCACAACAGTGATTACAACAAAAGATAGAGGATGTAGAAATTTACTTTGAGAATGAGGTAAGCACGGAACAATTCGGTCAAAGTGAATCACTTTACAGGGGTGTATAAATGTTAGTAAACAGGGCAGGGATTGGTCCATTTTATTTGTATTCATGAATGTAATCCGTATCAGTGCACACGCATACAATGCACTTTTACTTAACAAATGTGAAAACTCTCGTTTGTGACTTCTGTAATATAAAGCTCCAAGAAGGCTAAACCTAAGTCATCACCAGAGTACTGTTACAGTCCAATAATGGCCAACTCCTAGACAGTCTAATTAAAGTAAATGTACAGGCTTCTTCATGTATTATTTGACCAGGCCTAAATAAATCTGGATAAGAAATCCTATTACTGTATCTATTTAATAGAGGATGATTTGATGAAATACTATCAAATATTTCAAAGTAAAATATATGATAGAATCAACAACAAAAAAAGGCAATGGATTCCCCCAGAAAGCATCTGCCTGCTAGAAATACCTTTAATAGGTATCACAATTCAAGAAAGGAAGCATCAATGGAATCAATCTGGCATGGCAAGACACATTCTAATTTTGTTTTCATTAATGCAGAAGTCTATTTAAAATGTATAACCCTGCCAAATAGTCTCATGAAAAAAGGAAACTACTAAGGATTTTCAAATAACATCTCTATATCTACATGCTCAAAACAGTATATTTATATTTTATTTATGCATGCCCAAAGTCTTCCCACCTTATGAGTCTCTAACCTGACCTTTTTATTTAAATTCAACTGTTCTGTTCTTTTTGTGCTGCATATTGCACAATGAAATTCCAGTCTTTACTTGAAAATCCTTTTCCTCAAGAATGGAAATATACAGCACCTTCTGATCTAGCCCCTTTTCACTCAAGAGTCCTTAAAATAACTTACCTCATCATCTTCTACTTCTAATATCTCCTCAAGATCAGTAGTTGAAACATTAAGGATAGATGCTGCCAACTGAACAGACTCTTGGGAAAGACCCTTTTTGCATGCTCTCACTTCTCCCATTTTTTTTGCCTGCTTGATTTTTGTTCTCAGCTCTTGTACCCTGTGCTGTAACTCTCTGGTTAGAGCCTAGAAGATGCAAGCAAAAAATACTCTGTTGCAATTTTTCTTAAAGTGCAAACACTATGGAAAAAAACAGTATCATTTAGGCTAAGCTCCTTTAGATGGGAATTATCTTCATTCTGTGTATTGGTTCAATAGGACACATGCTGCAATATTAAATAACATGCTATTTGAAACACAAAATATGAATTAATACATAAAACCAGAAAATGTTCTATAATATAGGTACAATTTTTTAAAAGTCTTTACCTAAATAACTACATTGATAATGCCATCAGTAATAAGATAAAGCAGCTTCCACAGAATCAATCAAAAATCCTTTCCTGATCCAGTCTATCAGAAATGTTATTGAAATAACAGAAGTGTCAGGCTTTACTGCGGTCAAACAGAGATATTTTTAAAGCTTATTCATACCTCACTGCATGAAGAAACACCAGAATACTTCTTTATTCAAAACCTGAGATTTTGGTTCTCACTAAGATAGGGTAATTCAAAATTGTACTGGCTACTGATTCTTCCCAATATAATGTCTACAATTTAAATCATCACAGTAGTGGTTATCCATTGTTGGTAAGCAGCATACCCTTGGAGCACACAACCCCACCATGTTATTATTCAAAGCTGGCTTACAAAGGACTGTATTCTCTATGCAGTTGGCCCACACAGAAGGCCTACCCAGGCCAGGCAGTCCCTTCGTGAGGGTGCTCTTAGCAGATAGTAGGTGTTTTAAACACATACCAGCTCAGGCGGTGGGAAGAAGATTGTTCTTTAACCCTGGTTTTGACAAGGTCTGAAGCACGGTTGCCAAGAGAAGCCTCAATTTTAGATCCCATTTCTGCTGTTGAAGACTTTTACTTAGTTTTAAGAAAGAACTGGAGCCTGATAGGATGTCTGATGCTGCTAATGCTGCATAATTAAACTGCCTTTATTGTCATTATTACTATTTCTAGTGACTCATAAAGACAATAATAATAAAGGACAATTTTTCTATGATAATTTCTGAAATGTGGTATACTCTACTAAGCCAGAAAGACGTTTGCAGCTTAAAAAAAATCCGGAAAAACAGAAGAATACTATTAAAAGAAAACTATTTGAAAGGTTTAAATGATAGGAAAGGAGAACCATTATCTGGATTGAATTAGGGATTACCAGGATTTAGTGAAGCTGATGCAAAAACCTAGGAAAAGTAAAAAAATAGCAAGATGACTAAACAAAAAATTGTTCTTGTGGTTAACAGGAAAGAAGAAACCCAGCAGGGGTGAGGCCACTCTCCTTTGTTTATTTAAAATAGTATGAAA